GTCCGTGGGCCGCTATTCAAGCCAGAAGCTTCGCGCCGTTGCTGTCTGTCCTATCACTTCCCCAAGTTGGGGATTTAGCGTTACCATCAAGACAAACTATAACATTTGGACTTGAGATTTTCATTAGCACTGTATCCAGCGTATCAAGACCTTCTTCTATGGTGTTCCCAAACTGGAAGTACATGGTTATTATGTAGAAACTGAAGCTCCCTTGATCGACTTGAGCACACACACAGTGAGAGGAGTTTACATGCGACAGTTCCAGAATAGTTAGTGTCCTGTTTATCACTATAAGACCTGCCCATGGGGGCTCATCTTGCCTGTTTCCTTGAATTATACGGTGTTGCAAACTGTATCCTGCAATTCTTCCAAAGGTGGAATATGGCTCTTGGATGGCCAGTAAATCGACTTTGCTCTTGCAAATTTCTTGTCGGAGTTCAGAAGGAACAACTTGTCCTCTACCTTCGTTAACCTGAGCGATATTTATGGTGGCGGTGTCTACCATTATGTGAAGGCTATTGAGTTGATATACCTTTTGCTTGCCATCTTGTACGCAGTACATTGTTTGCTTGTCCTGCTGTGGCTGTATGGTTTCCCAAGTCGTTTGCACGCTGCACATTGTGCAGATTCCTTTTTCTTTGGACATTCATTAAACTTATGTCCTTTTTCTGTACAGTGGGAACACGTATCAACCTCGTCCTTGCAGAACTTAGCGACATGTCCGTATCCTTGGCACTTAAGCATCTGCTGATAGCAAGGAAGTCCTTAACTTTACAACTGGTATACTCAATGTATTGTCTTTGTTGCCTAAGTAACCGTTCTGTAAGGGATGGTGTGACTTCCGCCACCCAGTTGACCGCATCATCACGCCGTTTTCCTGTTTTGAAGACCAGCTTGAAGTCCTCGAGCTTTGTCTGTGCGAAGACTTCCTCATTCATAGATCTGATGATCACTTTCTTGTACACTTTTTGGTACGTTGTAGATGATTAGTCTTGGGTTTCTTCTGTCCATTAATTGTGCTTTAAGTCCACACTCTTTGAGCTGACTATTTCCTAACAGTTTATTGACGTCCTGTTCAGTTTCAACTTCTAGCATCAGCCCTTTGTTCTTGAGCTTTCGCATCTGCCGGAACTTTATCTTGTCCCTTCTGGGGTTTACTACCCTCGTGAAGGTTTCTTTGATTTCATCACTGTCTTTTATGATGCTAGGATCTTCTGGCCTTATGAACACTATTTGCTGAGGTCTATTCTTAAGTGGACCTGACTTAAAAGTGGCTCTACTTGCTGGTACATTTTTCCCAGCTACTGATGCATAGCTCTCTTGGCTAGTGGCTTTCAGATGCCTGTCTTCCATAATTTCAGTTTGTTTATCAAGTCTGCCCTGCAATTTTTCGTAATCAGCTAGGAGCTCAACCACCAGGTTTTGGAGTGCACCTGCGTGGTCTAGCACCTTTTCAGTCGCAAACTTGGTGATTTTGTTCTCACGATCGAGGCAAGTTGCTTGTAATTCTGAGATGATGCCTCTTAACGTGCCCATGACTTTTTCTCTCACCGTCATGGTTTCGCTCTTTGAGCGGCATTTACGTGCCGGTGGGGAGTTTGTCGGACTATCTCCATGACTAGCTCTCTTACGTTGCATTGAGAGCTCTTGAACGTCCATTTGTGGACTACTGTCATCATCTGACGTGAGAGGCTCACATCGTACACTCATCACTTTTAGTAACATATTATCATTATTAGCCATCGTTCATCATGTTAAGAAGGTTATCTCAGGGCCTTTCCGTTCAATGTCTCCGCCCTTTCAACTGTATTGTCAGGTCCAAGCTAATGTGGCCTCCAGCCCTTCCTCCAGTGGCCTCGGCAGAGCCCCCCCGCCGCATGCCGCAGGGCCCTCTGCAGTCGCCAACTGGCACTACGACACACGACGAGATTATTCGCCCGCTGATAAGGCAGCCAGCCCCATTTGGCTAGAAGGGGCCGGGCCTCTGTACTATCGGGCGGCCCAGGAGTGCGAACCTGGTTTTTAAGCTGTACCCTCTGGGGGAGGACCTTTGGCCCAACTCTTCTCATCCTCCACAGTGTCCGTGACGGGTCTATTGACATTGAGAACCCGTAGCCGCCGCCGCACTATTTAGTTTCACCCAGGGACGTCCTGGGCTACTAGGCCACCCCGCCGCAACCAGACAAGTGCGTACGACTTGTGGGTGATGAGACCCCACCCTTTAGGGTGAAGGGAGATAGTGACAGCCATCCCTCACTGTCCTAACTCCTGCTGTTCCTGTCATATGACTTACCAGCAGCAAATTCCTAAATTAAGTAATAAATTGTATAACTATACAATAAAATACAATAAAATAATCTGGACAATTCAAAGATTACAAAAACCACTAAATCTCAAATAGAAGCTAAACCCAGAAGAATAACAATTAAAATTAAAAATCAATATAATATCAATAAAATCAATAAAAATAGAAGTAAAGTTATTTAAAACGCAAATTAATTCTAACTTTTATCATTTCAATAACCACTGTTTCAAATTTCCTATAAGTTTCCTTTTTATTAACTAAACTATAAACTGCTATCATATCTTTATTTTCAAGTATTGTATTTTTTTCTAACTTGCGAAAGCAGTGGACAATCTAATAAGAAATGGGCCAAAGAATCTAACCTGCCACATTCACAATATTCAGTAGATACTAATTTAAAGGAATATAACTTATCATAAAAGTCACCATGACCTGATAATACTTGACACAAAAAGAAGTCCGGCACAACCCAGTGCATTAACATCCGTTCTTTAATAGAGGGAAAATTTAGAACTAAATCAATAGGTAATTCATTAGCCAACGCCTGTAATGCAGGTGTGGAAATAGTATTATACGCTCGGGTGACCATTAGTAGTATCTTCTGTTGAGAACTTAATAATTTCCCACGGTGAGGGAGCTTAAGTCTGTCGCCCCACACACCAGCTGCGTAGACCATCACTGGTATATACAGACACCTGTACAAAATCCTAAGGGCGGGAAGCCGAAGCCCCCACCCCGAACCTGCCAGGCGCTGCAATCTATAAAACTGTGATGTTGTCTTGTCTACTATATACTCAATATGTGGCATCGGGTTAAAATCCAGACCCAGCTTAATTCCCAGATAACGGACTACCTTAGCCATCTTCAAAGGCACATTATTTAAAGCCAAGCTGGGGGGCGATCCGAACTAAGCCGACCCCTCAACAACATCATCATCGATTTAGTAGATGACAGTTGTAACTTCAAACCACCCAAATGATTCACCAGAGCATCAATAACTAATTGTCCAGTACATTCTAATCCACGACGACTATTTGCCTCAATCATAACAACAAGGTCATCTGCATATGCGATATATTTTACACAAAAGCTATCAAGTAAATCTAAAGTGGAATTGAAGACGTAGTTTCACAATTCAGGTCCCAAACGGACCCCTGAGGACAACCTCGCTCAGCCCATTTAGAAATCATCTTAGTTCCCTCTATGTAATATATTTTTCGATAGCTCAAGTAATCTGATATTATACAATAAATATCATACGGACAATTCCACAAATGTAAAGAATGCAATACACTGGGCCACCAAATATGATCAAATGCACCTACAACATCAAAAAATATTCCTAATACATATTTGGCAGGAGACTCAATGGTTCATCTCTTCAATTGATATATAGCATCAGTGGTAGATAAACCAGGCCTAAAACCAAACTGCCATTTATTAATTCTAGAAGAAAACAATACACTCAAACGCAATTTTAATAGTCTCTCAAAGATCTTTCCTATTAAAGACAAAAGACATATTGGACGATAAGATCTAGGATTAGAACGATCTCTAATTTTATCTTTTAAAAAGATCACCACTCTCGAAAGTTTCCACCTGTTGGGAAAAACCCTAAAAACTAAACACAAATTATATAAATACAATAAATGTCTACCCAATACTGACAATGATTTATCTAATATATNGATGTCCATTGGTAATATTTGAAGATGGTTTCAAGTCGGGGTGTTTCCAAGAAGGAATATCCTTCGGGTAAATGTAATTGTATCTCTTTGAGGGTGTTCAATAACACTTCCTTGGGGAGAAAATAAGTGCTAAGTCGGCCTTGTTCCAAGGTTTCGATGGCATTTCGGATTTCAAGTATTAGAGTTCGAAATTCTCTGATGGAGAACTCAGTAGATCGAACTGCTGATTCCACTGCTAAATGATATTGGTGTTGGATTAATGTTTCTTCGATGAGGGTTTGCTTTTTTATCAAAGTATAAATTTGGTTTCGATTTGTCTTGGCGATTCGCAAGGTATCATTGAGTAAAGTTGCTTGAGACTGGAGAAAGTGAGTAAATTCCATGTTTGTTTCGGATAATTGCGCTATTTTTTCGTTGAGACTTTCAATATCTTCCGATGTGGCTGTTCCAAATAGATATTTGAGGATTTTGCCTCCAGCATTTATTAAGCCTCTTTTTTCTCGAGTAACGTTAGTAAGGGTTACTAATGTTTGTAATTCCCGGTAATCCGCTTCATATCCTGTTAGGGTGGTTTGTAGGAAGGTGAGTTCATCAACAGATAGAGACCATCGTGGAACGGTAGGGTCATCTTGAGATGAAGAGCGCATTCGCTGTACTAATGAGATTAACAATTGAATATGTCGCTTTAAAAGATGTAATTGTTCCTCGTAAGAATCAAAAGATATATCCAAAACAAGAATCCAGTAATTGGTAGTCATAAAGAAATTTCCCTGGTGTACAAAGACCACACCTTTGTGAAGATTATGAGGATCCTCTCGTGGGTTGATATGGAGAGTGGAGATCCCTGAGGTGAGGAAGGCCAATTGGAGTAGAAGGGTTAAATGCATGGTGGATGATGATATTCTGGAGGAAAAAAATGAAGTGATTAAAGAGATGTAGAGAGGGACTATATCACGTTTTTTTCAAGTCTTTTTCTTGTTTCAAGTTTATTTTAAAAGGTTAGAGAAGGAAGGAGCCCTGGGGTCATGGATTTTTTTTCTTACGTTAGGTCTCTCGTTTGGTTATTTTTGGTTGAGTGTTAACTCCATTTTTAGGTGGGCTAGCCTTTCGTTTAGGAATTCGACTTCGTCGAGGAGTGGGAAGAATCCAAGGTTGTTCCTCCACTGGTCCTTGACTTCTTAAGGCATAAGGAGGTGAAGGAGTTAGTTCAGGTTCTCTCGTTTTCTCCTCAGTAGTTACGTCTTCTTCGTCTTCTCTTTCTGATTCTGCTTGTTGCTGTATTTCGGTGAGGATGACTTCATCCCATGGATCGATGAACATGGAGGTGGAAGGTAATGGGTCTTTGGATTTTGCTAAATTAGAAGTTATGATTGATTGTGTTTCAGATTCATTCATTTCTTCTAATTCTTGCTGAGCGGTGCCATGTTTTAACCGGTTAGCGTGGACATGAAGGGTCTTTTTTGTTTGGATATTTTCGATTATAAAGGTAACAGGACTCAATTTAGTTATAATGCGAAATGGACCCGACCATCTGGGTGCTAGTTTCTTCTTTAGACCCGGAGAGAGAGCGATCTCGTTAAGGAAAACTCTATCCCCCACTTGATAAGTAGATATTTTATGAGTACGACGGTGTTGTTTCTGACGTTCTCTAGCAGCTTGCTCGGCGTGTTCTTGAGCAACCCGATGTGCGTTAGCCATTCGTAATTGCAATTCTGCGGCAAAGTTCTCTTCCACGTCATATCGTGTCCGTGTAGGACGGGTGATGAG